GAAATTCAAGAATACTCAATTTCAATTCGAAATCAGTCCTCAGATTCCTGTCCCAAAAATAATCGATTTGGGATTCGGTATGCCTTTTTCAGTTCGGCATCCTATATCGAACCAGCCTTAGCTAAAACAACCCAAAGCTCTATTTTCACTTTCTAACCGAACTACGTCTACTAACCAAAATGGAGAATGAATTTCCTATAGTATCCAGTCAATTCCAAAAAACCCCTTAAAGCTTTAACAGAAGTAGGAATAGGCCATTTGGATATAGCATCTAGTTTTGCAGGATCTGCAGCAACTCCTTCTTGAGACACAATGTGACCCAAGTATTCCACCTTATCCCTCCCAAATGCACACTTGGACTTCATAACAAATAGAGTGTAATTTTGTAGAGTATCAAAGACAACTCTCAAATGTTCCATATGAGATTCCCAAGATGAACTGTATACCAAAATGTCATAAAAAAAAAAGACCAGAAGAAACTTCCTCAGGAATGGCCTAAAAATCTCTTTCATTGAACACTGAAAAGTGGTTGGAGCATTAGTTAAGCCAAATGGCATAACTAAAAACTCATAGTGGCCATCATATGTCCTGAAAGCTGTCTTTTCAATGTCATTAGGATGCATGCGAATCTGGTGGTAATCGGCTCGAAGATCCAATCTTGAGAAGTACTGAGCGCCAAACAGTTCATCTAGCAATTCATCAATAAGAGGTATAGGGACTTTGTCCATAATGGTGATCAAATTTAAACCCCTATAATCCATACACATTCTCTAAGTGCCCTCTTTTTTCCTAACCAAAATAACTGGAGATAAGTAAGGGCTATTACTGACCCTTATGAACCCAGCTTGCGATAACTCATTTACACACTTCTCTATTTCAGACTTTTGAACAGGACCATATCCATATGGTCTATTATTAGGAGGCTTATGTCCCTCAACTAATGGAATTACGTGATCATGAATTCGATGTGGAGGCAAATTGTTAGGTGTTGAAAACAGTACCTCATATTCCTCTAATAATGATTGCAAACTCTGTTGTTGTTGCACAGTGAGATGTTGGAATTGATTGTCACTGACAGAATGGTCTCCAAATTGCACTTGAACAAGCTCTATCTGATATAACATTGCCCCCACTGTGCTTTCTTGTTGAAGAAGCTTCTGCATTTGCATAGCTGTAATATCCTTTATTTGGTGCAATGTTAGACCCGGGGCTAGTAATACAAAAGGTGTGAGAGCCTTTCGAGAATTGCATGTATAGCTTTTCGAAATCCCATAGTATTCGAGCAATAGTTCTCAGCCATTGGACTCTTAGTACAACTTCACAACCACCCAATGAAATCACATAGAGGTCTGTTGTACAACTATAATCTTGAATCTTGATAGTTGTTTGAGCCAAAGTCCCCTTTATAGCAACTCGACAATGATCAACCTTCTGACAGTATTCATAGCTGGAGATCTAAAAGTAGGTGGAACATAAGGTGATTTATGCAAAGATTTCACCTTGAGATCTGATATCTTGGCGTTTATTTGTTGAGCGAAGGAAGAAGCTTCAAGCACGTCTTTTGGTTTTAGGAGCTTCACATTGTGGCGTAATACTACCTTAAGACCCCCAATGAAGCAAGATTTGAGAAGAGTAGGGCTTATATCCCTCGTGCGATTTGACAATATGCGAAACTCGAGAATGTAATCTCGAAGGGTTCCCGTCTATCTCAATTTCACCAGATTTTCAGCAAAGTCTTCGAATTTAGAGGGTCCGAACTCTAGGCATAGCTCCTTCGTGAAGTCGTCCCAATTTGGGAAACCCACTGAAACCATTGAAGAGCTTCATCTCCATGTGGAAAGATGCCATTTTTACCTTCTTCAAGTCGTCGATACCAAAGAAATCGAAATAGTGCTCGGCTTTGTAGAGCCAACCCAAAGGATCACCTCCTTCCATAAATCTGGGAAACTCCATCTACAAGAATGGCGATTGAACATGTTGGGTCGAATTCTGACCAAAATTAGGGCCAATTCTTTCGTAAAATTAGATTGACAAGCCTAGAGATTGACTTCGACTTTATAATTAACAAGTCTTACATTCGACTCTTTATGCAAAGATACTTGTAAGTTGTACTTCTGAAATTTTAGCCGAGTACATATTTAATGTTATTGGTCTATAACTTTTCCTTTTTGGATGAATACTAGCAACTCTATCTGAACCAGGGAAAGGACATCTGCCGAAAGAATCTTAAAGGCAAGTTATTTCTTTACATCTGTTTTGTTTCTGGGCCTATTTTTCTTTAAATTTGCATGCGACTGTCATGTGCATTCTTTGTATTTTGACTAATGTTAGTATAGGATAATTTTTTAAACTTGTTATAAGTGTTATAAATTGAATTCTGGGCCAGATATTGTTGAAAATGTAATGATTGGTCATACTTTGATACCAGATGAACGTATTCAATACCGTATTGGGTACAGGTTGACACTCTGCAATAATCGAAGGACATGTAAACTTGTCTTCTTCATAGGCAATTACTTCATGTTTCTTAGTTTAGGTTGCTGATACGAATATTTGTGGAGCTTCATTGATTTGTTTTACTGAATTTATCCTAAATGTGTATGTGGAGCTTCATGTTACTTAGTTTAGGTTGCTGACACGAATATATGTGGAGCTTCGATGATTTGTTTACGGACATGCTTGTTTCCCGGCTCAAATGTTCTGATTCTTATGTTCTTAAGCAGCAACAGAGGTGTTTCGAAACTTCAGTAGACGTCGTTGTTTACTTGAACAAACAATACGAACTTATAATTCCAGTTGATATGGGAGGAACAAGTTATCAGTTCAATAATCTGTTTAGATTCTAGTTTTAAGTTTTTCAACGAGAATAGTCCCTGTAATCTTATCTTTTGTATGTAATTTTGATGCATGAGCGTGGACTAATTGTGGAGGGGAAGGTTTGATTAAACCAAAGTGCTGCTGGATCACATGTTTGTTATCTGCAGGCAGGGCAAACCATACAAGTTAGTGAGAAGCTCCCGTCAAAACAATTTATTTCAACAATTTGGGCTTCACTAAACATACCTCTGTTGCTGCTTAAGAACATAAGAATCAGAACATTTGAGCCGGGAAACAAGCATGTCCGTAAACAAATCATCGAAGCTCCACATATATTCGTATCAGCAAGCTATTATATTCCTGCATTTTGTGATTGAAGCATGTATGTTCCTATTATATTGCTTTCTTGTCTCAGCAATGGAGGAGCATCAGAATAATCAAATGATAGATTTTAAGAGGATTTGATAAATGACTATGGCTTCTTAGGTTTTTATTTTTGTTACCCAAATGAATGCATCGGTATTTGCCTAAACATGTCATTGCTGTTGGAAACATTCTCTGTGCTTTCTTTGGATTTCAAAGTATTGACCTCTTAATTCACTTGTTGCTAATGTCATTTGGGGTTTTTAGTTGTGATATTTTATTGCTTTTGAGGTCTTCAGTTGTCAGCGTAAAAGAGACAAAGTCATCGAGTATATATTTTTAACTCATTTCTTCTTTTATGAACTTTTCCCTAAAGAAATATGGCAAAAAAATCGCTGTTTAATGTTTCTTCAATATTTATACACATTTTGTTAATTTCATCTATATAACAGGAGTAACAGGTTGGGGAATCATGGTGAATCACACCCATTGGTTTATCCATGACTCAGTTAATTTTCATGACACAGCCGTACTTTGTGTTCAATGTTCTAAAAATCCCCATCAAGGTGCTAGGCGGCTAGCCATCATCCCAATTAATGCCTAGACGTTTGAAAATTAAGAAAGGGCGCCTAAACCTGCTGAGACGCCCGCTTAGACCGCCTATGCCGCCCAGACCCGTCTAGACACTTGCCTAGGTTGCAACTCACTTAGATAGAAAGTAGATAACCTTCCTTTTGCATTTTATTGTTTCCAATAAATTGTAAGACTTATTGAACACTTAAATAAACACACATTATATGTTTGCTCCCCATGTTTTCATTATGTTTCAATGCTTCATAATATATATGTCATTCTATTTTCTAGTTTATGATGAAATTATATATATTTTAAGTATAAATAGACACTTATTTACACGAAATACAATAGATTTACTTAAATCCGCCTAGGCATTAGGCCCCGACCCACCGCCCGACTAACGTCTAGCGTCTTTTAAAACCTTGCTTGTAACTAAAGCAGTTAAGATTGTTTGTCTTTGCGCCCGAGATTCTGTGTTCAAGTTCCTCTCCCCCAAATATCGATCGCATAAGAAAAGCAAAAGTTAAAACATGGGATAAATAATTTAATGGAAAGACATTAGAGAGAGGAAGAAATGGAAATAGAAGAATGAAATTTAAGGAAACAACATGAAGTTTGGACTTCACATCCCATCCAAATTTTCTTTACTACCAGCGCTCGTTTACATTCGACTCAAACAAACATCGTTTACATTTCTCTTTGAACTAGATACCAGTTACTAGAGGTTTTTGCACTCTAACTCACTGCTTGTCGCAGGACAAACCAAGGGTACATGGAAAGAAGAGGGATAAATATCTGGGAATCACTCAACCAAGGATCATAGAATCACTCAACCAAGGGCAACATAATCACTCACGTCGCTAATCGTGGCTTCACACCAACCCAAACGGTTGATTTTAGGAGAAACACTCGCTTTAATTGCACAAGGCAAATATATTTTCAATTCAATCAAGTTTGCCAAATGCTTGTATTACATCATAATTTAAAGGAAATAAAGAGAGATTTTTCAGTGTGTTCAGAACATGGGCACATACGTCATATGTTATATAATAAGTGGAGAGACACTTGAAAACAAAATAAAAAAAACTTATCTTCACTTGTATAATAACATATGACATATACGGGACCGTCCTGTATTCCGAGCACATTGAAAAAATCTCTCTAAGTAAAGATAAGGAAAGCATAAACGTTACAATTTCCTAAAAGACTCTCATCTTAATCTAAACTGAGTTAACAAATTTCGATGTCATTAAAACACACAACACTTATTATTCCAATGCATGTTATTGGTTTTCAAATCGTTTTCTCCAAGGAAAACAAGCAAAACTAGGAGAAAAATTTAATATTAACAAAGTTTAGCAGACATGTTTTCACCTCAATCCTTTTATGCATGGGGTACCATTTAAGATTATAAGAACGTAAGAGAATAATACGAAATGATTTCAGCTTGATTTCTCAATTCCGACGGCGACGGGAAGGAAGATGGTAGGCAGAGGGAGTAAAGCTCTTAAAAACAAACATGAGCAGGAATTAGCTTTCCTGGATTCATGGTGTTGTTGGGATCTAATGCTGCTTTTATTCTTTTCATTGCCTTCAAAGCCTCCATTCCCAGTTCTTGCTCAAGATACTGAAACCAAAAACGAGAATCCATTTAGAATAAAGAATACTCCGTCTTCAACCTATATTTAATGACATAATGAATATAGACCAAGTCTCTTACTCGTAACGCCCAAAGTCCATCTGGCTTATTTGTAACTTTCACTATATAGTATTTACCCATCTAATTTAACTATCCGTGCCAACATATGCCTCCCATAACATTGGCCAGAAACGGCAGTTACCAAGCATAATATTCATTTGGCTAATATATTTATGTATAGATTCCAGATTCCAAAGCATATATAGGCATGCCTATTTTAAATTAAACGGCTCGTAAGTCAACAGAAAACTAAGTACCTTCATTTTTCCTGTACCAACGCCATGTTCACCCGTACATGTTCCTGCTCTTGTCAAATAACAACTTTTAGCACCCTAATTTGTCGACCATTGTGTTATAATAATACATGGCTAGCAAAATATTAAAAGAATTAACTAACTTGAGATAAGATCAACTGTTGTTTATTACATGTAAAGATACTATATTAACAAACTTAATGGAATTAATAAACCACAATATAGAAAGAATCCAAAAAGGATAACCAATAACAGCCACATTGCATATTACTTCAACAACGCATTGACTTGGAGAGCAGAGAAATTCTAAAGAATTCCAGGATAGTCCATACCTTCCATTGACAGGGCAGTATGGACCATAAAATGGTTCAGTCTCTCTGCTTCTCGTCGATGTTCTTCATTGCTAGGGTCAAAGAGAATCACTGTATGGAAGTTCCCATCACCAGCATGAGCAATAACTGTGCTGTTGTTAGGAAAAATTAAAAAAAGCACAACCAAAGTCAGCCCATTTAATCCTCCATGCTATTTGCGAACCACGACATATTTCATCATCGCCTCTTTACTGAATAATAGGGCTACAGTCATTTGATCAGACATTACCAAACAAGTTCTGATGCATCCAGCTGTTCTTTGGACCTTGATATCAATTCTGCAAGACATGATAAAGGAACACATACATCCTGCATATATGAAAAGTAAAAATTAAAATGAACCATCTGAACTTAACAAAACAGCCAGAAAATTGTCATTCTAGTAACCCATTAACTAATTCTTTGAATTTATAATACTTCCATTCTTACAAATGATGAGAATTAGTAGGCAAGAAAATGGTTGAAATTATCAGGAACTCGAATGAAAAACTTGACAATTTTTTAGAAGGTAGGATTCCTAAAAGTGATTGTTGTAGGAGCAAACAAGCATGTTCAACAAGTTTTTAACTATTAAAAAATATTATGCAACTGTGTGAACAAATGCTAAAAGTCTAGAAATTTTTTCAGATCCATTGATATCAACTTACCGAAATCATTGCCTCAAAATTAGGCTCCATTGCAAAGCATGCCCAGAGTGCCTCCTTCCTTATCTACAGGTAAAAGAGAGAATTAAATAGGGAAAATGAAAACGAGGATGAGTTGGATCAAGCCTCTGGCTTCAATCTATCAAAGAACTCAACCATCTTTGTTGGAAGTAAGGTATTACAACAATTTGAAATCGAGTAGCAATTTAAGCTGTAAGAGTGAACAATAACTGCAGCTAGGAACAGAGTTCCATTAATGGAAGTGAGTAGCAGCCACATATTTATGATGCAGAACTAATTTTGCCCAATTAAGTGATACAAGTACTAATTGCAAATGGTGCGACTTTGTATTAAGTACAAGTGAAACAAAAGAAAATTGTAAGTGCCTATAGAGGATAGCAGGAGATAATTTACCAACTAATACAAGAAAGGACTTCCATTTATTTATCATACATCTTTTCCATTTATTTATCATACACCACTTAAGTATTCACTACCTTCCAGAGTTCCTTTTTAGCTTCAGGGTCTTCTGCAAAAACAAAGTCTGAGCCATTGTGTTCAGAAACAATCTGTTGAACTATATGGGTTTGCTCACGGGAATATGCCTCTAAAAACAGAAAGAAAATAAATCACGAATTACAACAGGTAGAAAGAAGGCAGTGGGCACTAAATGGCAGGGAGTCAACAAACTAAAGCCTTTTGTCCCTTGGAAAATACTCGTTCTTTGCATTGAAAACTAATTATTCCCTGCTGAAGAAGGCAATCAATCACAGCATTTTGGTATCCTCTTGGACATATTCTCTTGTTTCCCTCATTTTTCTTTTCTTCTTACCCCCATTTATTTCAGCAAATAATGATGACTAGGTGCTGGTATAGCCCTGTCCGATCACTAAACCCGCAGTTGCCAAAACATGAGGCAAACACAAACCTTTAGAAGACAAACCAGTAAACCACCATTATGTACTTATCATAAATAAGCTGTGATCCTACACCTAAACAATTTAATTACTTCAGTCAGGACTCATAAACGATCATGAACTACCAGATTGCTCCTGATTTTCCTTGTTGTGCCAAACCATCAATAGATAAGATTTAAACAAAGATATGTTTTTTATATGCGGTGCAGTTAGCTCAATGATTAAGATGTTCTCCTTTCTGGAAATGTATTTAGCCAAAAAAAAAAATCAAAAATCAAAAATAAATGACAGTCAAGATGAAAAATAAGAGACCTCATTTTACCTGTGCCTATAAATTCGAACATTAAGGTTGGAGTTTCAAGAAAATTCTTCCCATTCGCAATGTTGATTGCCCTCACTTGAACCTCATCCAGTAGTTCAACCCGTGAAACCTAATGGTTATAAAGAAGAACTCTGTCAAGAAACTGAACCATGAATTCAGATACGTAATATGCGCCTAAAACCCTACCTGAATGCCCGACAGCATAGTAGCAATAGCAACATCTGCTGCATCCTTAATTGAAGGGAAATTACACATAGCAACCTACAATTTAAATTTATATTAATAACAGAATGAAATTACACAAGTATACCCTGCAAACGTAACTGTAATTCGAGATAATGTAAACGGCTCGAAGTAATCAACTGAAAGACAAAAATCATACAACAGTCCAACGAGGTCATGATGTTCAAATAAATGAAGCTTATCAGTTATAGTAATAGACCTATCAACTTACCACTGAGTATTGTGGAATTTTCTGAAGGCGTAGAGTGATTTCCGTTATTACACCAAGTGTTCCTTCACTTCCAATCACCAGGCGGGTCAAATCATACCTATGATGTGCAAAAATTTTAATGTTCACAACATGCCTGAGTTGGGGAGAACTACTCAAAGATCAACCACATGGTTATAAAATAAAATAGAATAGAAAACAAACCCTGCAGCACTCTTTCTAGCACGAGATGCAGTCTTAACAATATCTCCATTTGCAAGAACTACCTGGAAGATAAACAACATAAGAAATACAAACATTACAAATTTGAGTCAAGCATCAGTCAAGATAATTGACAAACCTTGAGACTAATGACATTATCACGCATGGTTCCATACCTACATGCTAAAAACAAAATCATTAAAATCAATATTAAACTAGACCTATGAAACTAAATTTTACATGGAATCATTGATAGAATAAAAAAACAATAGTGCAAAATGATAAGATAATCACAGATTAATTGTATAAAGTTTAAAATCAAAGGCATCTGTAACTCAATAGTATCTGTCAATGATTAATACAAAGAAGGAATCATTCAATTCCAATAGCATCGATTATCTCGAGACGTTTGTTCTTGTGGACAACCCAAACTCAATTCCATACAATTCATTCTGTCAGTTGCAGCTAACAGATCTTGGCCACTGCGTCAGCTCGACGTCAAAAGGGTCTTTCTTCGTGGAGACCTCCACCAGGTTTTCAAGCTCAGGGGAAGGAAAGGAAAGTTTTCAGGTGAAAAAGGCGATATATGGTCTCAAGCAGTCTCCTCAGGCTTGGTTCGAGATATGAAGTTTGGTTCTGACGAAGATCGATGGGGCTACTATTTGGTGACAAGAGAGAGGGAGTGAGAGACAGAGGAGGAGAGAGAGAGATCTTAACGTGATCAAAACTAAGTGGACAGCAGGATCAAGAAAGTCCGGAAGACTAATGTGAAAAAATCTTTCATTCATCATTGCAACTTTCCAGGTCTCATTGATTAATATTCTGAGATATATCCTACATATTGTGTATATATATTAAATCTCCTATTTGTTTATTTTGGACATCCCAAGATTCAGGATATCACACGACACATTAAAAAATGGGTAAAACTAGGGTGACACCATCATATGTGCTTAGACCAATAACTTCAACAAGACACACTTGAGTAGGTGATTAAAGATTTTCTTGTGTCAAAAGTAAAGGCTACGGTTTAAAGCCTAGTAAACAAGGTTAATTAGCACTGCTTAGAAAGCCAAAACTCCATTATTCAGTTAAATTTGCAGGTACACCAGTAGGTAATCAAATGTAATGTGTATAACGTCATTGTATCCATAAAATATTTAAAAGTTAAAACAGCAGAGCAACTACCTAACAGCTAAGGAACCAGAGCAACGTGTCGCACACATTCCTCCGATTGTTGCACCAGGCCCTGCATGTGTACAAATAGGAAATACATAAAACTTTGATATAGGAGAGAACGAGGACAAATTGTGGTGGAAAGAAACACATCAAAACAAGTATGTTGTTACTCTCGGCGTATTAAGTGAAACTAATACGACAAAAGATAAAAACGAACAATTACATTAACTTAAGGAGCATGCCTTCAATTATCAATTTATTATCCATGTACTCAAGGCTACATGGCAACACCAAAGGATAGCACTTACAAACAAAAATTTTAAAGATCATAGAAAATGCACATTAAACAGTAAACTGGTGATAAACACATATCATGAGGACTGAAATAAAACAATGTTATCCAAGTGAGGTTTTTGGTTAGCAACAATATATTTAGTAAACAGAACTATATTCTAAATTATCCATTCTTGTGGTTTGTTTCCAGCCTGGCTGTAGAAATATAAGGTACTAGGGTCAGATTAACTTTTAAGCAGTTAAGCAAATGTAAAGTTTTAAACAGTGTTTCTAATTCCTACATATAACAACCACCAAAAATCATTAACTCCACCCAGAAAACACAAACCTATAATCGTCTTTGGGAATCTGAGGGTTAGAAGAAATGGTCTCTTCCATATGAACATTGCATGTGAAGAAAATCTCTACCCATGTATTGAACTGATCTACAATTCCATACCAGCATGTAAGCATGGACAGAAAACACTAGAGCTCAATTGGATCGATATTAGACAAGATTTTCACAAATGCAAACTCCAACTTGACAATGTATGAAGTATCACTTCTAACAGAAATAATAGGTAGAGAAATTCAGGCACATAAAGATTCCAATCTCCTATTCAAAAATCTTGAATGAAACCTTGCCATGTCAAACTGATCTTGAAATTGTCCAATACATTTTAACCCACAATATTAAAAGGTAAAAAATTTATCCTATAGGTTGTGAAGCAAGAGAGCACCAAATTGACATATGCATTAAGACAAGCTAAAGTAGTATCATCAGAGAATTCTTTAACACATGCATTGCCTATATACAGCTACAGATAGAGTTTTTCATTCACAATGCACCACTGTTATGAATTATTTGAAAAATTATTCAAAACAGTACAGCGAATAAAACTCGAAACAACTTATACATCCAGGGATATATTACATTGTCTGACAACCTATGTGCAAAAAGAAAACATAAAAGAAATTTACCTGGATCCAGGGGAAAAAATAGACCATAAGGAGCCAGGTATTCATTAAGCTCCATCCATCCAATCCCAGGCTCAACAACAACATCCATGTCCTCAATATGTAATGCTTTAACATGCTAAAATTTGAAACAAAATGGGGGGAATATCAGGATGACAGTAGAAAAGGAAAATGTACACAGAGGGATATGAATTAGACACACTCATAGTATAATCGAGCCTAGAAACTTTTCTTTTCTGGTGTGAATTTGTCCGAGGGAAAAGGTGATATAGGTTAAACAGAAAGTATCTGCTCTGGGTATATGTTCACAACTGAAGACAATTTGGAGCTTTACTAAGAAATTTACAAGTAATCATCCTACAACCTTAGTTAGTTGCATAAATGTGATTACTATTATGAGGTTTACTTATTACAAAAATTAAGGACTGACACTAGACCAATCAGCAGAAGAACAAAGTGATATCTTGAAACAGAAAAAGAAATTTCAATAATATTCTGATACTAAACAGCACTGTGTGCATATACATACATTCATTAATGACATGTCGATGCATACACCTCCATTGGGAGACAAGGTGTGACCCTCAATGGATGTAGCCCCGCCATATGGTACAATTGGAACCTGTTTTACAAACAAAAGCAAAACCAGTTCGTTACTTCTAAAGGGGAATTTAATCATCCCGAAACCTGTGAATCTAAGAAACAATATACACAAGATAAGATGTGGGCTTAATCATATGTTGTTCTCAATCTGGAAGTTCATGTGAGAAATTATATTCACTATATTATTGGGATCACAATCCAAATTATAAACTTCAAATAAAGAACAATCCAATGGAAATATGAAGTTGTAAACATAGAAAAGCATGAGCTGTAGCACAAATTAACAGAAAATGTAGGAAAAAAAAAAACCTTTAATCCTTTATTGAAGGAAAAAGAAATTCAGACCTTATGCTTGTCGCATGACTTGACTATCTTAGAAACTTGCTCTTCAGACCTGAAATCATGAATCCAAACACATTTTGTGGAGAAAATCAGAATTAAGTACATAATATTACTTGAAGGGCATATCTTTGTACGGAAACTATCATCACATGTTGAAGAGTTTTCAATCTAAAGTTGGCAGTCGTGAAGCATAAAGGAAAACGCAAAAGCAGCTGGCATTGAAGCAAATAAAGCAAGCTTCTCACCTCGGAAACACAACGATGTCGGGAATATTAACCGCTTTGTGAAAGCTGTTCTGCGGTTTTCCATGGTTATACCTCTCCTCATAATCCATTGTCATGTTATCCTATAAAAATCACCAAATACCACTATCAATTTACCACGATCAACATAAACCCAGTTAAAAAACTAACAAGAATTTTCAAATAAAAGAAAGAGAACAATGAATTGAACAGATTGCCAAATTGGGTGAATGCAATACTTGACAAACATCCTTCAATTCATCAACAAGCTCTTGTGGGACTTCCTTGCGCAGCCCTTTAACAACAAACTCGTTGCTGTGTGCGATCAGAGAGAGAGAGAGAGCCTATAACCAATCAATACCAACAAGAAACAAGAAAAAGCTTTCAAATTTGATTGAACTGAATGAAATTTACCGAGAATTTGCACTGGGGGCTTCACAAAGTGATGGGTCCGATTGGGGGTGGAGGGCAAGCGATCCGGCTGACACTGCGAGTGCGACCGGAATCAGCGAGCTCGACCAGAAGAGAAATGGGGTTTTCGGGCTCTCGGAGTTCGTTGTATTTTGGGTTCTCGCCAGCTTGGTGGACATGGAGGTTCGGAGGGCGGAGGAGGTGAAGAAGAAGCGCTGTGAGGAACGGCGGAGGCGAGAGAACCACGACGCCATGGCCATGGCGGTCTAGGAGGTACAGAGACTTCGTTGATGAAATGCAGGAATGGACGAAATTTGGGTGTTTGATTAGATCATATGCTTGGTGATTCTAGTTTTATCTGACCACTGAACTCAAATCAAAATGTCAACTTTTTATTTCATGCTCTGAAAATTTGTCTTTTTAACTTTTCACAAGCGTTAAATTTTTGGAGGCAGATTGTCTAGCCTCGGGTTACCGTTACCTTCCCATCCTCTTTTATTTGTACGGTTACAGTTAAGTTATATTAATATTTTATAGAGATTTTTTAGTATGGGTCTAATTTTATAAGGCTGTTTTGAAAGGAGTCCACTAGTATTACACCGTCCAAGGTGGGGCCTAGCAAGTATAATATATCTCCGCATCAGTTATTTAGATGTCCATAATTTTCAAACGAATTAGAGCACTTGCCACGGTGTATTTTTTGAAATGAATTTGCCAGAATCCGACGATTTTGGGGGCACTGAGTTTATCTCGTCGATTCCAATGATTTTGAAAAAAAAAAATCTTCCCTATTCCTGCTTGTATAATTTAAATTCGAATTATGAGATGGATAAATATGATTCCTGCAAACAATCAATGCAAGCAGGAGTTTGGGTTTTGAAGGATATTCATACCTAGCGAACTAGTATGGTAATATGCACCTGTTTTATCTTTTCATCCTTTGTTGTTGGTTGCTTTTGTTGTCTACCTATATGAGTGGGAAGGAAACCATAGTTTTCCTATTAGGGTGGAGGTATAGATTATATATGCACTTGATTTGAGACATTTTTTTAGGTGAAATTGGGTTTATAATATTGATTCGGGCTAAAGATTTTTAAACCAGGATCAATAGAAGTTTGAGCCTTGAGTTTTTAAATACACGTTAATTGGGTTGGTGGGTTTTGTGGAACAAGTAGCTTAATAGCACCTTTTGTTTGTTGTGTTTTAGTTGTTGTCTACCTATAGGGTGGAATGAAAGTAAACTACCTGTGTGAATTGAATTTTTTGTATCTTTTTACGTATCTGAATGGGTATTGTGTTTTTTCTTTGATTTGAGAATTGAGTTTTTATAACTGATTTGTTGTCTACCTACATGGGTGGAATGAAAACAGCAAATAAAAATGGAAAATTTCAGACGCCTAGAAAATTACAATTTTTTTTAGCAGTGCATTGGTGATTAAAAGCAATATTAGCCCTTTGTATCTCATTGATTATCAGAGAAGACAACATGAGCTTGAAGAACATAAAACAAAAAGGATATCAGTAATCCATATTCAAAAATTATTATCAAGATATCCTACCGCAGAAGATGACCGAAACGGAAGAATGAATTTTTTTTTTATGGATAATTAAAGATGAATATATACACAATTTGATTGATGATACAAATAAAGAACATGGAAAAATAGGAGGGTAAAATAGTAATCACAACGCAAACAAATCAACTTAATCAGAAAAAAATGCTGACATAGAGTCCTAGTTATTAGACCTAAATAGAAAATAACTAAAAATTGGACTAATCTTAATGTTAGGCTATAAAATTGGACTTATTTCAAGTTACCCCTATTTGATATTCCTATTGCTTTTTGTCTTATTATCTTTATTAAAAAATCAATATAAAATGTTGATGTGACTTAGCCATGACCGTACAAATAGGAGGGGATGGGAAGGGCATGGTAATTGGAGGGTAGACAATCTACCTCCTAAATTCTATGACTACTCTTTTTTGAATCACAGCTTGTTACGCGCGACTTACACGTTTTAAATGTATTTATATGCATGAATTGACAAAAAAAAATTCAAATATTTGAAGTAAATAAGTAATCTTAGATCATGCTAAAAAAAACACCTCACAAACCAATCAAAACAGTTGAATTTACATAATAAAATCAATCATTCAATTTTCATCTACATTCTATTGAATTTACATTAACAATAGAGAAAATAATATTTAATAAACAATTAATTGAATCATATTATTGCTAGCTCATTGTGAGTCTAAGCCCACCCTTCTCTCCTTTAGTGTAGATAATATCGTTTGTTCAAAAAAATAAAAAAACAATCATTTGACAAATAATTTAATCACATTATTATGTGTGTGCAAAAGACCTTTTTTTATAACTGGTATTACACGTATCTTAAGATGTTTTAAAAGTGTTTAAAAATAGATAAAATAATATTTAATTAATAACTGATTGAATCACATTATTACCAACCTATTGTGAGGTACTAATTTAAAAAATGTACAAAAAGAAATAATTATTAAAAAAAAATACTATTAAAATGGCGAAAATACCCTTGCATTATTTTGGGCTTCTTTTGATATATATATATATATATATATATTTTTTTTTTTTGGAGCATTTTTGGAATCACGTCGTGCTATGCGCATTGTGAGCCTAAGTTCACATAATAAATTCGATCTTTCAATTTCCATCTATATTTTATTGAATTTACATTAAGAATAGAGGAAATAATATTTAATAAACAACTGATTGAATCATATTATTGCTAGCACATTGTGAGCCTAAGCCCACCCCCTTCCCTCTCCCCCTTAGCGTAGATAATATTGTCTGTTAAAAAAAAACAATTATTTGACAACTAAGTTAATCACATTATTATGCACGTGCAAAAAACCTTTTTTATAACCAGCATTACACGTCTCTTAAAATATTTTGAACTTGTTTAAAAATAGACAAAATGATATTTAATGAATAACTGATTGAATCACATTATTACTAGCCTATTGTGAGGTACTAAAAATTAAAAAAAATAAAAATTGTACAAAAAGAATTAATTATTTAAAAAACACTGTTAAAATGACGAAAATACCCTTGCATTATTTTGGGCTGCTATTATGCTAGAAAAAACCCCTCACAAACCAATCAAAGCAGCTGAATTTACATAATAAAATCGGTCTTTCAATTTCCAACTACATTCTATTGAATTTACATCAAGAATATAGAAAATAATATTTAATAAACAACTGATTGAATCACATTATTGCTAACTCATTATGAGGCTAAGCTCAACTCTCTTGCCCTCAGTGTAGATAATATCGTTTGTTTAAAAAAAAAAAAAATCATTTGACAACTAATTTAATCACATTATTATGCTTGTGCGAAAGATTTTCTTTATAATCAGCATTATACGCTTCTTAAGATGTTTTGAACGTGTTTAAAAATAGAAAAATTAATATTTAATGAACAACTGATTGAATCACATTATTACTAGCTTATTGTGAGATACTAACTAAAAAAAAAAAAACTGTACAAAAAGAATTAGTTATTAAAAAACACTATTAAAGTGACGAAAATACCCTTGCATTATTTTGGGCTGCTTTTGGAATTTTTTGTTTTGAGGACATTTTTGTGTATTTTTAAATCACGGTGTGCTACGCACGACTTACACGTTTTAAATGAACTTATATATGTGAATTGACAAAAGGAAAGTCAAATATTTGAAGTAAATGAATAATCTTAGATCATGCTAAAAAAAAACCTCTCACATACCAATCAATTGTCACGTCCCGCCCCGGGGGGACCACTTCCCGGGCCCACTCCACCACCGTAGCACGATATTGTCCGCTTTGGGCCCCGACCACACCCTCATGGTTTTGTTTCTAGGAACTCAGACGAGAACTTCCCAGTGGGTCACCCATCATGGGATTGCTCTCGTGCGTTACTCGCTTAACTTCGGAGTTCTGATGGAACCCGAAGCCAGTGAGCTCCCAAAAAGCCTTGTGCTAGGTAGGAATGAGAATATACATATAAGGATCACTTCCTTAGGCGATGTGGGATGTCACAATCTACCCCCCTTAGGGGCCCGACGTCCTCGTCGACACACACGCGACCAGGGTTAGGTTCTGATACCAAATTATCACATCCCGGCCAGGGGGGACCACTTCCCGGGCCTGCTGCACCACCGTAGCACGATATTGTCCACTTTGGGCCTGACCACGCCCTCACGGTTTTGTTTCTAGGAACTCAGACGAGAACTTCCCAGTGTGTCACCTATTATGGGATTGCTCTCGTGCGCTACTCGCTTAACTTCGGAGTTCCGATGGAACCCGAAGCCAATGAGCTCCCAAAAGGCCTCGTGCTAAGTAGGGATGGGAATATACATATAAGGATCACTCCCCTAGGCGATGTGGGATGTCACAAATCAAAGCAGCTAAATTCACATAATTAAATCGGTCTTTCAATTTTCATCTACTTTCTATTGAATTTATATTTAATAAACAACTAATTTGAATCACATTATTGCTAACCCAATATGAGGCTAAGCCCACCCTGTCACACCCTGGGCCGAAAATATTAATTTCGGGAAATGATATTGGTGATGGCCTAAAAACTTTGCTTTATTTCGCAGAATTTCGAATCACGATTCTTTATTTAAATCCTTAACTCCCTCTCAATAAACATAAACATAAACATAATTAATTTATAAGGCATGTGCTTAGGCTTTCTATTAAGTCAAAATTTACTTCTAATAACTCAACTTCTTAACAGAAATTAATTCTTGATCATTTAATTTTACTTATTTTATGGCTGCATCTAACATCTCGTTAGACTGCCTACGTACCCTAAACAGAGATCAAGTCATTCGTAGTAAAAGGGGGGGAACGGGAGTTCTTCCCGACCCAACCCGTGACAGCAATCCGCGCGCCAAATTGCGGCGTTCCACGACAAAATTTCTACCATCTGTCACTTGGAAATACCTACCTAACCTCTCCTCTACCCTATTCACCCAAAATTAGGAAAAGTTTAGTTGAAATTTGGTGGAAAACCCACCATGGGTGCCGCGGGTATCCTTGGCCAAAATCCATCAATTATGAAATGTTTTTCCTCCAATTACCACCATGAATAAACTTGCCTTGAGACCTAGAACAAAGCCCGAACAAACTGTAGGGGCGACGGAGCACCAGAGCTGACAATTCGAGGCCACTCATTTATAAGGTTTCCGACGGGTTCGGGGCAAATTGGAACCTTTCCAGTCCAAATTGGACTTGGCCATATGTATAAAGTTTGCTCTACTCTTTGAGATTTTCATTTCTATAATTTTTAAAAATAGTTGAATCATCCGACAAGCCGGGACGGCTGGCCGCCACTGGCGGCGGCAGGTGCAG